ATAAATAAAGAAAGGGGTGGAAGGAACAAGTCTCCAACTCACCCAAAAACAAAATAATGAAATAAAAGATAAGGGGGAGGGAACATAACTCCCACTCACCCACAAAATAGAGAAAAGCTAAATATGCTAATCTAGAGAAGTCCCAACGGATAAAAGATAAAGGCCCAAAGGCGAGAACAGAAAGTCCATAAGGGATAAAATATGTGGCCCGAAGGCTAGGAAAAGCATAGGCCCCAGAACTCAGCATCTAGGGGGATTCTTTAAAATCTTCTGGCGAGCCCATCGCATGGCCTCTTTCAACGCTGGGTGGCGTGCGTAATCCACCTTTTTAAAATCTGCCTCCCAATTGTTACTAATGAGCTCCAATGCACGCGTCTTCAATACTTTCATAGAACGATAATCCTCATCGTGCTTAGTAACCGGGAAAATATAACCTTGCTCATCAACTGGATAGAAGTGAATCTCCCCGTAAAGGTCAATAGGACAAGAAATAGGAGGGGCCGAATTGGCTATCACCTTGTCATCATTGGCCACGCAATCCACTATTATCGGAGAGGAACACTGACGTTCCTCAGATGTTCCTTTTTCCTCAACCGCTATGTCCGCGTCATCTAAATCCTTAAAACCAACCTTTCCTTCAGGAATATCCCGAGGGGGTCTCTGGCTGAAACGTAGGTGGTACAGCGGTAGAAGCCGGGCCTTCGTGCAAGATTTTGAGAAGGGCAGCTTGGGACAACAACCCCGACTTATAAGAAGCTACGGCCTCGGCAATGAAATTTTTAGAAGAGTTTTTAGAGGCGTTTCGGTCAAACAGAGGAAGGGAGGGTGGGGTTTGCATGGGAAAAGGTTGAATGGGGTTTTGGGGTTGCATGGGAAGGGTTTGCATGGTTTGGAGGTGTGGGTGTTGGGTTTGGGTTGACTGAGGTTGTTGCAAATTAACAGAAGGGATTTGGGGGGTGTTTTGCATGGGCTGGGTATGTGAGGGAGTTGGCATGGCAGGGGTTACGGATTGGGATGGGTTTTGCATGGGTGTGCTTGCGTGAAGAAGGTTTTGGTTTTGGAGGGGAGAAGGAGTTTGCATGGGAAGGGTCTGCATGGGCATTGGCATGGAGGGTACGGGCTGAGGGTTTTTGGCAGTGAGGGCTTCAGGCAGAGGATTGGGAAGGGTTGNGATTTGGGGGGTGTTTTGCATGGGCTGGGTATGTGAGGGAGTTGGCATGGCAGGGGTTACGGATTGGGATGGGTTTTGCATGGGTGTGCTTGCGTGAAGAAGGTTTTGGTTTTGGAGGGGAGAAGGAGTTTGCATGGGAAGGGTCTGCATGGGCATTGGCATGGAGGGTACGGGCTGAGGGTTTTTGGCAGTGAGGGCTTCAGGCAGAGGATTGGGAAGGGTTGACACTGTGCATTAGTCTATACTTTTATGACTTATATTCTCTTATTCTATCAGTACATACAAGTATCATTTTCATTTACTATATTTGACTGGGAGGTGCATTGTAATGCTAGAACTATAAAATAAATTTTATAATAAATTGTAGTAGTTAATTTCTTTAGTACTAGTCAAAAAAATATTTTATTAAATTAAGGTCTTCAAAAATATTTTTACAGAAATATAAAGTGCATAAATAATGACTAATAAAGAGCAAAAACCAATGGTTAGAAAAATAGCAAAAACTATTTTTATTAGTTGATGTGTTTATTATTGACGGAATATAAAATAAAAAGAAGATAAAGGACGCAACAGAAAACAAGCAGAGAAGTTTAGAAAGAACGCAACAGAAAGCAGATTGACAACTTTGTCATTTCGTATATTTTCTCTCCAATCACTCATTTCTCCCACCCAGTCAACATTGTACTTTATTTTTTTCAGTTCCCACAACCATCCTTTTTTCTCCCTTTTTCATTTTCTCTCGCAACCAAACAACAGAAAATACCTAAAAATTTATGTTTTTTCACCCTTCTTTTTATTTTTTTCTATTTTCCAATCCATACTTTATTTAAAAAGACATGAAGTCAATATTACATTTTCCCGCCCAAAGAGTATGACCATTACATATGACAATTGTGAATTTAAAATGGTAAGTATCCAAAATTATAGTAATATAAAATGGTAATTGTGAAGTTAATATATTTATTTTTTATAATAATTAACTATCATTTCTAAAGTGTCCAAAAGTATACTACCAATAAAGGTAAGTTATAAAATTGGAAGGCGTAAGTTTTTTTCAAAATTAGTAATTTTAATTAAAATTTTAATTATAGTAATTTTAATTAAAATTGTATATTACGTGTGATTATCGTGTCAAATTCATTATAGTAATTAAATGTTAATTACCATGTCAAATTAATTATAGTAAGATGTGATTGCCGTGTCAAATTAATTATAGTTATTAAATATTAATTACCATTTCAAATTAATTATAGTAATTAAAGTAATAATTAACCTTCATTTTTAAAGTTTCTGAAATTATATCAGCAAAAAAATAATAATAAAAAAGGTAATAATTGACTAAAGTATTAATTATATAACCGTGTGACCACATAATTGTATATTAATTACCGTGTCAAATTAGTTATAGTAATTTTAATTATAATAATTTTATAATAGTAATTTTATAATGGCTATATTTTACTATATTTTAATTATAGTAATTTTAATCAAAAAAGTAATAATTAACCAAGGTATTAATTATATAAACATGTGACTAAATAATTATATACTCCATATTAATTACTGGGTCATTTTAATTATAGTAATTTTAAGTATAATAAATTAAATAATTTAAATGTAGTAATATAGTAATTTAAATTTGGTATAGCACTTTGAAAAATGAATAAATTTTTTTAACCCCGTATACCAAAATCATATTATAAATACATCTATTTACAAAGCTTTCGTATAATCACTACATTCATCGTGAATTTTTTTTCCTACATTTCAAAATTGTCATTCCTATGGAAATGGAGATCTTAACTGCTTTGAAAAATGTTGATGAGAGGTCATCAATGTTAATGATCAAGCTACGAGCACTTAGGATTTATAACAGGTTTCCGCAACAATAATTCAACACGTTTTAGTCATGGTCAACTCTATGTTACAGTTTTAAGAGTAACTAATCATAGTGGGTTGAAGATTCTGATATGAAATGAAGACAATATTTCCACAAATTGTATAAAAAATGTAGTTTATAAAAAAGTTTTTTAAAATTTCTAAACCAGTGATATTTTATATCCTAAAATATTATAATCTCTATATTCTATTGATTCTCATTTTTTATCATTGAAAAATAATTTAAATTTATTAACATAAATTGACCCGTGCAAAGCACGGGTGTGATACTAGTTATCCAAACATCTTGTAAATATAAAAAACTAGAGTAGTTCACTTTTTTTCTCCTCTCTCCAAATTTATAAAAAATTGCTGCCAGGTACCCCCAGTTTTGCGGTAAGAACTACGGGGTACTCCTAATTTTGAAAATATACTCTCAGGTATCCTGAATTATAAAAAAACATACTAAGAGGAGATTTTCCATCATATCCTCCATCCATTTGGGTTTTTCCGTTAACTTCTTGATCAGTATCAGCATCATCATCATCATCCACCATCTCCATCTTTAATTCTTCGGTCTTCCTCCTCCTCTTCTTTTTCTTTTTCTTTTTCTTCTTCTTTCTTCTTTCTTCTTCTTCTCCTCCTCCTCCTCCTTCCACTCTTGATCTTCCAAACCCCCAACCCTTCACCCTTATTTCTTCTTCTTCTCTTTCTATTATTATTATTATTATTATTATTATTATTATTATCTTATTATTATTATTAGTATTACTATTACTATTATTATTAAAAATAATAGTGAAACTAATATTTAGTTTTTATATTAATAAAAGAAGAATAAGAAAATATTACTTCATAATAATAATAATAAATAATAGAGGTAAAAGAAAATTATACTTTGTAATAAATAAATAATACACCATCCATTCCATAAATTTCTTCCCCTTTCGTTTTTTTTCAATTCCCTAAAACACTTTCACTTTCTATTAAAAAACCACTTTTACCCTACTTTTTCATACCCTAGCTATCACATCATCCTTTTTTACTAATAACCAAATTATCACATCTTACTTTTACTCATCACATCAGGGGCAAAATTTGAAAGTCAATCAAACTTACACTCTCCTTATAATAATAATAATAATAATAATAATAATAATAATAATAATAATAATAATAATAATAATAATAATAATAATAATAATACTCCGTAATAATAATAATAATACTCCGTAATAATAATAATAATAATAATAATACTCTCTTCGTCCCAAATTATAATACATGTTCATTATTCACAGGGTCAAACTTTCTTCACTTTCTTTCTCTTTTTTTTGTTAGCAATTTGATAAAATAAAATACCATTGTCACTACTAGTTTTGTAGATCTTTTAATGTAGTATTTTAATATGTAATTTTTATTTTTTAACTATATACCATTTTTCATATAAAATGATTTGAAAATAATAATAATAATAATAATAATAACAAGAATAATAATAATAATAATAATAATAATAATAATAATAATAATAATAATAATAATAATAGAAACAGAAGAAGAAGAAATAAGGGTGAGGGGTTGGGGGTTTGGAAGATCAAGAGTGGAAGGAGGAGGAGGAGGAGAAGAAGAAGAAAGAAGAAAGAAGAAGAAAAAGAAAAAGAAAAAGAAGAAGAGGAGGAGGAAGCACCGAAGAAGATGGAGATGGATGATGATGATGATGTTGATGATGATGATGATGTTAACGGAAAAACTCAATGGATGGAGGATGGATGGAAAATCCTCTCCTGGTATGTTTTTTATAATTCAGGGTACCTGTGAGTATATTTTCAAAATTGGAGGTACTCGGTAGTTCTTACCACAAAACTGGAAGTACCTGTCAGCAGTTTTTTGCCAAATTTATGTAGTACAAATTCACTTTTTTTAACTGAGTGAGTATAATTTAGGCGTGAAAAAAAGTTGAAAAAAAAAATGAACTATTTGTTCTTTGCAAAATTTCGAGGGGAAAGGGGAAAACAAGGGAGAGCTCTCTGTAACTTCCAAAGTGGTTATCGATGACATCTGTGCAAACAAACCCTAGGCAACTGGAATGAGGAATGGGATCGGAATTCGAAAATAGCAAGAACTGAAATCGTTTTTATCCTCAATTCGGAGTCCTGTCCAGATAAAGGTCGATTCTTTTTCTTCTTCTTCTTCTCTAATACGCGTTAAAGTTATACAAATACGCCGATCAATTTCTGCTTTGTAGTTTCTCATCGGTCTTTCCCGCCACACCATCAATCCAGAATACTGGAATTTCATGTAATTTTCTTATTTACTCTGACGATTGCTGTATGAAGCTCATTTATTGTATTTTGAACTAATATCTAAACTCTTTTCTGCTAAGTATTCGATTCAAATTTATTTTTTTGTTGACAGTGATTTTTTACGATGGGTAATGCTTCTTCAATGTTGACCCAATATGACATTGAAGACGTCCAAGACCACTGTAACCATCTGTGTAAGGATCGGTTTATTTGCCCCTTTCCCCCCTGATATTGTCTTTTGTGCTGGCTATGTGTTTGAATAATTGTCTCTGAACTTCTTGTTTCTTGGAAAATTTAGTTAATCAGCTAGAAATTCTCTCACTATACCAGAGGTTCTGCCAACTCGATAGGAGTGCAAAAGGGTTCATATCAGCCGATGAATTTTTGTCAGTCCCAGAGTTTGCCATGAATCCCTTATCCCAGGTTAGTATTAGTTCTTGTTGAGTTGCATTCATAAATTTTGAATTGTAGTTGAATTTTACTGGATTTTTAAACACTAAATAGGTTTGATTTGCCAAAAAAGTAATGCCTTAACTAAAAAAACAAAGAAAATAATGAGCAGTAAGAAGATGATGGCATAAGGCTTATCTGTCTTCATTTTTCTACCATTCCCGTCAAAAGTATAATTTCGCACTACTTTCCATCATCCTATAGTCTGATTTTGATATACACTGGAATAAGCTGGTTTTTTGAATAAGACATGGCTTTCATGTAGACATATTTTAGTACTTATATCGATCTCATAAGCCAGTTTTTTATCTCACCCTAACTTATATAGTTATATTATACATGATTGTCCTTGTACAATTTGTGGGAATAAAAAGAGAAGCTTTGCATAGGTTATATTTTCGGTGAAATGAAATGATATGATGTCTTTATCTTCATGTTAGTTATTAAAAAATTTTTTAAAAAAATTGAATACTTTTTAGAATAAGTCAACCAATTCAGCAACGCTATTTGTTTCAACAAAATGTTCCCTCACTTAATGGGATCTTGAGAAGCTCTCTTCCTTTAAATGTGTTTATGTTTTTTGGTTTGGCCAGTGCTATAGTTCAATCATTTATTTTTCAGATCTTTTTTTGTCTTCCAGAGATTGCTCAAGATGGTAGATGGATTAAACTTCAAGGAATTTGTAGCTTTTTTGTCAGCCTTTAGTGCCAAAGCTAGCCTGCGACAGAAAGTTGAACGTATGTCATTGATCCTTGTTACTCTCAAGTTCTCTGACAATTTCTTGTGTGTGTGTGTGTGTATGTGTATTTCTGGTAATATTTTATAAATTGTAAGTGCCATAAATGAAGAAAGAAGAGTTGGGTTGACCAAAGAGAGTATTTTTTTATCATCTAAAAATCTAAAATTGATTCAAGTAAAAAATGTGTTACATGGTATTTAGTTATTTATCTATATACTCCGTATATGATACTCCGGTTATTTATTCTTTCTACTTTTCTATAGATTTGGTTTTGATCTTATAACAACACAATATCATTTGAAATGTAGTTCTTCATTGTTGGGTAGTCATAATCTTGTGCAATTATCTCAATATCATTACAAATTAGAAGTTCAAAGTTTTGTTGTAAATCATGGGGTAATATACTAATATTTTCTTCTAATGCGAGAGGCTTACGATAGTGGGTAGACGTGGGGGAAGGGGTGTACATAGGAAGAATTGGAAGGAGGCAATTAGACAAGACTTAGGATTTCTGGTCCTTACTGAGGATATGATCTTAGATAAGAACGTCAGGAGATTTAGGACTAGGGTAGTTGGATAGTCATTTGGACTTGAGTGAGTTATTCTGTTCTTGTCGTTCTGTTTGTGTGCATGTTGTCTTCTTGTGCTTTTCTTCCCCTTAGTCTATTTTTAACATTGTTGTCTTGCATTGTGATTTCTGTATTGCTTGAGTCGGGGCCTCTTGGAAACAGCCTCCCTACTTTTAAGTAGGGGAAAGGTCTGCGTACACACACCCTCCCTAGATCCTGCTTTAGTGGGATTCTACTGGGTTGTTGTTGTTGAGGTACTAAAACCACCACCTTAATGAGAATTCAAGGACTAAGTGGTGACACTAACAAATGATGGATCAAATCCCTTAATTTGTTATCTTGGAGGACTGAAACTACCATTTTTTTATATTTGTCAAATCTAAAAATTGGTGTTGCAACAAACAACAACAACAATATTACCCCAGTGCCTCAACGGCTCCCGCCCATTGCGGGGTAATGGGGGTTGGATGTACGCAGCCTGATCCCTATGTTTAAAGCATAGAGCGGCTGTTTCCAGATGACCCATGATGAGCGTCGAAAGTTACATTGACTAACTGCTACTTCACAATTGCAAGAGGCGCAAACAGTTTAAATGTTGAATATACTCACTATTTATGTATTTTTTCTGTTGCTTTGGTTCTTCAAACCTCTTGGTTTATTTGAACAAATTGTCTTTATTGCATAAGTTATCTTCAAGGTATATGATTCTGATGGGAATGGGAAGGTATCCTTCAATGACATGATGGTAGTGCTTCAGGACCTGACTGGCGCATACATGTCAGATAAGCAAAGAGAGGTTCACATCATTTTCTATTCCCAAGCCACTCCTTTATTCTTGTATCTTTTATAATTATCATTGATCCTCCGAATTACACATGAATTGCAATTTATTGCAAATTTGCACATAACACGAAGCAATAAAAACCCAACTTGTTGTGAAAGAATTTAGGTTTAGACAAGCTATAATTTGGATGGCATCGTTTGCAGATTATATGCTGATTAGTAAAGAGACTGTATCGACTTCTATTCTGTGTTTCTAAATATTCTTATCAAATTTCTAGATGTGATAGTATGTTGTGGGAAATTCTGCAGTAAGGTTTTTATTCTGCACCAAATATTCAAGTATTATGTGTTTTGAGTTGTTGATTTTATAAACATTTTTTTCGTTATGAATATACTATCTGTTGTTTTGTCCCTTCAACTGTGCGTGTGGTCAATCCAATTCTTTGTATTCGCCTAATTTCTACTAAAAAGTTATCAGGCACACAAAGTTCAATTTTTGCGATTGTGTAGAACTTCTAGAGCAATTTGTAAATGATGTATATTAGTTTATGCCTGATATTATTACCCAAAATGAAGTTTGAGTTTATAAAAAGTGTTAAAAAGTAAAAAGCGTGGTTGGAACTTGTGTAGCAGATAGAGAAGTTGCGAGCTTAATTTGGAAAGTAAAGAAATGTGAACTGTATTTTGGGACTTCCAAAAAGGAAAAGTGTAAACATCAATTGGAGACGAGGGAGTATAAAAAAATGAACTGCATTTTACTTTAGTCAAGCCTTGTTTTATTTTGGGTTTTGTAGGATGTTTTGAGCCAAGTTCTGCATGAGGCGGGTTATACAAGGGATTCGTTGTTACTGCTGGAGGACTTCATTAAGGTTTGTTCATCACATGATTCCTTCAATTTTCAAGGTATAGGTTATATTTGACCGTAATTGAAGCCAATGAGCTCGGCTTGATCCTCAGCTCCATTGTTGAGCTGGGCAAGTTTGGCTAAAAAAACTCAAGTTGGTTCATTATTGGGGATCAATTGACACCTCTCCTAGTCTCCCATTTACTCTGTATATTACAAACATTTTACCTCCTCTATTGTGATCATAGAGGAAATGAAATAATTCATTTATTTTATATTTCAATTACTATTTTCTTGATGTGGCATTTAATATATTCCAGGTATTTGATCATCCTGGCTTGAAGATGGAGGTGGAGGTCCCAGTTGACTAGCAAATAAGCACCCATTCTTGTTAGTCTACACGTCTTTGGCTGAAATTGCTATGGATTTATGGAACTCTTTTTTCAGCAGATTGCCATTTTACATAAATTTTCACTCTTATCAAATTCATTTTTTTAAGGGAGCATATTTTGGAGTGCATGCCAAAAAAGAAGCAATGTCATGATTATTTGTCCCAAGTTTTAATTTTTTTTTTGAGAAATGCTAGATTCACAAACAAAATTGTTACAAAATTCACAAACTTAGTATTTGTGGACTTCAATAAAAGAAATTAAATAATCTAAAATAATTTTAAAATAAAAGTTTAAGTTATAAATGGTAAGTTCGTGAAGTTTGTGACGATTCTGTTGGTGAATCTAGCATTGTTTTTTTTTCTCACTTTTGGTGCTTGTATTATATTGCATTTATGTTTAGATTTATAACATTACTCTCCGAGAGATAAAAAAATATTCCCCTTGCAATTAATTTCACTGTTTGATTTCAAAGAATTTATTAAGGAAAAAGTATTCCTCGGAATAGGTTATAATGTGATTCTATAATAAATAAAATCTGGTATATAATTAGTTACGAGATTAGTGGAGTAGAACATATGTACCCATCCATTTTCCGGCATCTGTTTTTTGCCTTAATTTTTGTTAATTGAATAAGTGGCCTTGTGATTTCTAAAAAAAATTAAATTGATAATATATGGTGAAACTCCACACTTGTCATCTAGATTAAAATCATAAAATGTAGTATGAAACTAAAACATATATTATGAACTAAATTATCTTTATTCATTTAAACTATATTTACCATTAAATATAAACGTGTAAAAATATTACTTCATACGCAAGAGCACTTAAAAAATTCGTCTTATTGACGTATGTTGTGCTTTCATTTGGTTGAGAACCAAATAGTCAATGCATATCTTGGCTTGCCAGAGGAAAGTGCAACCTATTTTAAATCACCAGGCATATCAAAACATTATTTGGGATATTTTGAATTTTATTTGGCATGAAAATATTATTTACTATCGATTATTAAAACTAACTATAATTAAATTCTACATTTTTCAAAAAAAGGAAACTAGTTCGAACCGCTACGCAACCAAAGTGCCAATTTTCAGAATACGAGCACGGAATTTTTCGTCCCTCACTAAATATTCGAATTCTATCACCAATGCCAACAATCCCGAAATTGATTTAGGAGTCTATCAAAATTCGATTAAAATTTTAAAAACCCATTTAATATCTCAATCTACATTGTATTTAATTAGAATTTTAAAAGATCTATCTAAATTTGAGATCTTTTATGCTAGTTTGCAAAAATTTCTATCTTTTCTTCGGCTAGTTTAAAATATACCGGAGTATTTGGGACATAATATCTCAATTTTTTCTTTTTGTCTGTTAGCCGCTAAAAGTTGTTTACTTGCATCTCTACATACAATTAAAACAAGACATAAACTTTACATAGTCTAAAGATAATAAACAATCTAAAAAATAATAAACAATCTGGTAGCATATGTGACAGTTTTGCCCTTCTCATTCTATTTTAGCAGTCATGTTCAAGCTCATTCCATTTTGAGCGGTAACCCTCGTTCACACCCCCNAAAGATTGTATAGTTTGTCACTGAAGAAGATGGCTGCTAGAGAAGACGCTTGGAAGATGCTGCATCCAAACCGCCAAAGGGGAGGGACGGAGGGCAAGGGAGAGAGGGGGAGGAAGCAACACAAGTCCAAAAGAGGGCAAGGATGCAACCAAATTGAGATGAACAGATCGAGACAAAGTGGACCGAGGAACACAATACTACTCCTACCCCTCACTCGGACCATCAGAAGCGCATGGCTCAACTCCCTATTAAATTATACGCCTTTCTAATAGGGTGTATGCGACTAGTATTCCTTTTAAGTTCATCTCGATATATTTATCCACTTTCCATTTAAAGCAAAAAGATATAAATCCAAGCTCAACTAATCAATTCTAATGCCTTGTGAAAAAGATGATGATGAACAAGGACAGAAAAATGAGACTTGTTGAGGGAGACAATGCAAGGCATATGCATTGTTTCCGAGGTGCCTATGTGACAATGCAAGGCATATGCATTCAAGTTATTGCGCAAGTAATGCAGATAGAAACTAGCCAAAGAGTTCGGGCAAAGCAATTGCATAACAAAAGAACCACACCGGGATTGAGAACACATCTCATTCAATTATCCTGATTTGCAGATAGTTTATGATGAAGCACCACGAGATTCTATACCACTCAAAAAAACACTAACTAGAAAAAGGGGATTAGGGTGTTCCGACAATAAAACCTTCAGCTACCCAAAAACCTGTTCCACGCAAGTTTACTGATATTAACAAAAATGAAAATGTATACCATATGGTTAGACTTGCCAACACAATACCCCAAAAAAGTGGGTTGTATTAATAACCAATAATCAACTATGAGCTAGCAGCGCACGGATCGCTCGCGACTACTGTGCAATTGATATGATAACAACTCACACCTGCAGCGCAATGTAGTAACAGGTTGGAACTCAGAAGTGTTAGCAACTAGCAAACCAATGGTGTGAGGATCTTCATTTCACCCAATGTGTTTAAGCACACTTTTCACTCCACATAGTATGTTAAATGCTTAAAAAGCACACTGAGATAAATAAGAAACTTTGGGGGGTTTTTGCAGGGCAAATAGAAAACCATTCTCAAATAGAATTCATTTTCCTCAGAAAATCACTGTAGCTCACTTTTGGCAGGGGTGGCAGGGCAATTAATAATGTCAATCCCAAACAAGGCATACATGTTAAACAAAACAATTAGAGTAGTTACTCCATATGTTTCTCAAAAAAACGAGAGAGAGAGAGTGAGAGTGAGAGTGAGAGTGAGTGAGAGAGAGAGAACAAGATCAGAGAGAGAGAGAGGAGACGAGACCTGAGTTGACTTTGAGACCAGAAGAGATGTGGTAGGGTTGTTGTGTTCATTGACTCAAATCTGGAAGGCCCATAGCCGAACTACTATAAGGCAAAAAAAAACACGAACACCGGAGGCAATGATTGAGGCAAGAGAAGCAAGCAACTTAGGCGAGAAATGCGGATAGTGCCTCGCCTGAACCTCTATAGGTGGTAGAAGGTTGCCTCGACACCTGAGGCACCTTAGGCAAGGTAGGCAATTGCCTTTCAAAAATATGAGCAACAGGTTGGAAGTGTAAGCAACTAGCAAACCTTCAGTGCAGCATTCTCATTTCACCTGTGTGTTTAAGCACGCTATTCACTCCATATAGAATGTTAAAGGCTTAAAAAGCACACTGAGAGAAGTAAGAAACTTTGGGGGTTTTACTGCAGAGCAAATAAGAAAAAAATCCTAAAAGCTATAATCTTGAGGTACAAACATGTCTGTAAACCATTCGTTTTCAGCAAAATCACTGCAAATCAGTCTTCAAGTAAAAGGAAAGGAGAAATCAACAAACCGAACAAAATCTAGCATCAAAACCCATGACAGGTAAAATTAAGCAACAAGCTAAGAGATCCTCAATTGACATTGCTTTCTTTTTCAAATTAAAAAAAACGCATCAAAGATAAACCTCCCGACATAAATCGAGCAACCAAACGAGCGTACCATCTCCTTACAGATCTTGCACGCTCAAACCTGCAGATTCGAGGTAAATTCAAATTCCGAACAAGCAAACAGATCAAAATGATGGATTTAAGGATGCGGAGAGAAGAAGTACCGGGGGGAAGGGATTTCTTGAGCTTATTGGCCTTCTCGAAGTCGGAGACGCAGAGGGTGTAGAGATACTTGGAGCAACGGACCTTGAACTTGACGGAGTCCTTGTTCTTCTTTATCTTCACTGAACGGGCGTCCTTCCTCCTCGCCGTCAGGAGAAAGTCTTTAATCTCGTGGATTTGCTTCGGCATCTTCTTCTTCTTCTTCCTCTCCTCCGATTGTATCTCCTGCCGCTCTGCGAAGTGATTGCAATCTCTCCTTTTTTCGTCTAAAAACCCTAACGTGAAGGTTGGTTTAGGGCCGGCCTGTTATGTTGGAGGGGACGAGAGGATTGTTTTTAAAAATAAAAAAATGTCCTAAAAAAATACCGAGTATTTTATCATATTCTATCCTAAATTTGTTGACCAACCTTTTTTTAAAAAAATTGGAATCAATTCATTATCATTCTTATTAGGGTTGTAAAACAAACAAATAATTTTGATTCAATTTGTGACTCATATTCGAAATCAATGATTCGTGTTCGAAAAAATAAATACGAATAAGAATTATAAATATTTATTAGAACTCAAAAGAAAATGAAAATAAATATGAATGTATATGCATTCGATTCGATATGTTAAAAAATATATTTGAATATAAATATAAGAGTTTAAACCTAATATACTACAAAATAAATACAGATCGTAACAGTATTTCGTAGTTTGTTTTTTATTTTTTAGTGCAGTACTCTGTGGTTGATATTTGATAGTACACATTTTGCTTTTTGGACGCCATGTAGAAAAAGGAACACTTAAATAATTTTAAATGAATGTGTAAATATGAATTGAAATACTCCCTCCGTCCGGAAATGTTCTTCCCATTTGACTTTTCGCGATCTCCAATATTGCGCTTTGACAATTAATATCTATATTTATACATAGATATATTTTATAAAAATTTGATATTTGAAAACTGTGTTTCATTATGAATATATTGATATTAAATTTACATTATAATACAATGTGTTTTTTCCACAAATCGTAGTCAAAGTTTACAAACTTTGACCAAGAAAAATCAAATGTGAAGAACATTTTCGGACGGAGTGAGTATGAAGTAATTGATAAGAGGACTCAACATCATAAGAGCATTAGCAATGGCAAGGCAAAAATGAAATGTCGCACGGTGACATGGACTATTTCAACCAATAAAAAATAACTCAATCACTGTGTGGCAAATGAGTGGAATGTCGTAACATACAGTGGCAAGTCATTGTTTTTTCTATTTTTGTACTTTTTAATGATTTTTAATTATCAAAAATTATTTTACACATTTATTTTATTATTAAAATATGTCTACTTCTTTTTAAAAATATATTTTTCAAAAATTAAAAATATTAAAAATATTTATAAAAAAATGAGGGAGTCATGCCTTGCACATGGAGTGAAAAAGTGGGGTGTAATGACCATAGAATGCCATGATTTGAGTGGCATTTACTGACATGGATAGGCAAGGCAAGACATTGCCTTGCCATTGTGAATGCTCTAAGTTTATGCTTCATGAAACTTAACCACTAATTCACTAGTAGAGCAGTACACCTCGTCATTTCCTTTTATTTTTCAGCAAAAACACTTCGATTAGTAGCCGTGCAACTGAGCATTCTTCTCGTACTCTCATACGCTATGGTCCTCAAATTTTGAAGCTATAGAATGTAAAAAAAATACTCAAAATTTGTATTCTATAAAAAAAGAAGAATGTGAGCCGATCGAATATTTGAATTCTATATTGAATCGAATGCGAATTGTAATAATTATTTGAATAAAAAATGAATATGAATATGAATAATGGTATCAATTTTCAAATATGAATAAAACTTCATAATATTTGATTCAATTAGTTCATTTTACAACCCTAATTCTTATCCTAGATGTTATCGTTATTATACTGTTACGATGTCATTCTATTTCTCTCTTCTCGTATTTACTCTAACAGTTATTTGCTATTAGATCGATGCATCCACGGCCTTTTTGGTATCTACTTCGACCGTTGATTGTTCTAGCTAGTATTCTTTGTGCTTGCATCACGTTCGTAGCTGGTTATTGTTTGTCAGTGTTCGTCCCTATCGCTCGAACCTTCGTTTGCTTGCAGTTTGTCTTTCTTCCTCACTGTTCGTTTTCCGTTAGTCGTTAGTGACCAGCATTTGCAATCTCGTAAGTGCACATTCATATCATAGCTACAACTAGATTAATATATACAACTTCAATTCAGTGAGGTCCAAACCGGAGGGCTATGAATAACTACAATTAGATCGATATTTATAACTTTGATTAGATCGATGCATGTTGACATGTTTAGGTCGATATTTAATGTCACTTAGATCTTAAATTGATGCATAGTTGAGTAGTTGACTACTACTTTGTTTATTTATAGTATTGCTTATGCTGGTAAATGGGTACAAAATGGCAAAGTAGAACACTAATTTGAGGGTAGTGAAAAGAAGACCATAGTAATTTTTTTTTTTTTTGAAAACACCATAGCAATTCTTTGTAATAAAAGTAATATGAAATTCAATGTTGGTCTCAGGCGCATATATGTGGAGCCTAAAAATATTTGTTGTGAGGAGGAAAATATTAGATTTTATCTTCCCATTTCAAGTAGAGGGAGAAATATATTACTTGTAACTGAGTAAGTAACCAATTAGTTAGACACTGGGGGGAAAAACTCCGCATTTCGATTCCAGAACTCTACAGGGCAGCTGATACCTTGGATGCTGCCTTAAGCTATGGTGAAAAATGGGCAAGGAAAGTCGAGCAAACACGACCCGGTTTTTACATATGAATATCAAGTAACGATCAATGGGTTTCTGAGGTGGTCGTCGGGCTGAGAATGGAGTCAAAAACGTCAGCAGAAGCATTGGAGAAGACGAGCAAAGCATGGAAAACAGCTGGGAGGTTGGCTTTCAAATGGTTCAGAACCATGGCCTTGTAAGACTGGACCAAGTTCTGGTGTCTGGCCTTCTCCAGATCAACTTGCTTCTTCAAGGCTTCAACTTTGCCGCGTTTCAAAGACAAAGGGTGCTTTGGGCTAGCTGCAGCAGTAAGACCCTCAAATCTGTCTTCCATCTCAGCTAATGAGCTCAGCTCCTTCTCCAACCTTCTCTCAAGCTTTTCACATCTTTTCTGCTGGTTCTGCTCCTCACCCTGCTGTTGGATTATTGATTGGATTGCCATGAGAAAGCTCTTAATGGCCTCTGCAACCACCTGCACTAAACACAGTTACAAAACAAAGAATGCATACATAAAATTTATGAAGTTTTTGAATGGGAACTTCACCTTGTCTGGTAATTTGCCACAGCCAAGCTGCCATTCTTCGCAGAGGCGACGAAGAGCAAGCCAGCAATGACTCTGGCGATGGTCCTCAGCAAGGATATGGGTGAGTTGGATCCAGGTGCAGAGAGATCTGACATACTCTTGCTGTGATCCTATGAGGTTACAGAAGCTGTTGTACCAAAAAGAAACCTCAGCATGGAGCTGGGCAGTAGCCAGGCGGTGGGATTCTGTTATTTTGTCTAAGCTTAGACTCTCAGTGACACGGTTTAACTGACTCGAAATATGACTCTGTGCTTCATGAGATTTGCACATCATCTTCCATATCTCCATCAGCCTGACATTGGGAAAACGTTAGATCATTTTCTCAGTGGAAAGCCGTAAAACTCAGTGTTCTAGAAAGCACTAGGCGCGATGTAGTAATTTTTTTTTACCCAGAAGTTAATGCGACCAGTTGGGGGTAAAGATCGTCATCGATAAGCTCCAAAATGGATGAAGAGATTTTAGTTATTGATTCTACTGATTCTTGCAGCCTATTTTCTGTCTCTGGACTGTTGTCATTTTGATTCTGCAGCACCATCATTTTCCTTTCTACCTATTCATTGAAAAATAAAAATTCCAAAATATTTTTAACTTTTAAATGCAGCAGCAACAACAACGAACCCAGTAAAATGACACAAAAAATAGGGTCGCGGACCTCTAATTCCTTGTAAAGATTCTGCTCTGCAACATAAAGTGTGTCAAGAGTTGCGCAATGAGCACCAGGCTTGCAAGGCTGGTTTGGTCCATGCTGAACAGAATCTCTAGAGAATGAAAGGGACTTGGAAGACCAGCCCTTCTTCCCTATTGCATATCAAAATGTAACTTTTTTCTAAAGAAAATTCATTCAGCAGAATAAAGCTATCACATACTGGTGAAATGAAACGATGCTCAGATTGTCCGTTCACTTACCCTTATTTTCTTTGATTTTCCATGGAAAAGAGTTTTCCCCGACGTTGATGTCAATAAAAACAGCTATTTCTGTCGCGCCATTTGATGCTTTGAGGAAATGGTCATCTAAATCCCTCATGATCCCCTCAAGTGTCTTTCTGTTGTTCTTTGCTGCTTCCATGGCCACATCCGAAGAGTCCTTGTCAAACCAACTCATCATCGATGAGTTATCATCAAAAGTTTCTCCAGACTGGCTCTTCTCCAACTCATTCTCTTCCCAACAACTGTCGCCATCCTTCCCTAAATCAGGGCTAAAAGGGGGAGGAGGCGGCGGCGGTGGAAGAAACGGAGAAGGTGGAGAGGGAGGCAATGCCTGGTCATCACAAGACACACTTTCAAGATCTAACGAGTCCGACTCAGTGAACTGCCTAAGAGTCACACCAGTGTTCTTCAGTGCCTTCAAATATGACAATTGGGAGTTTGCAAATTCCTTTCTGTACCCAACCAATTCTTTCATAAGCCTCTTCCTCTCCTTACACAATTGAACCCTCTCTTCTTGATCCGTCCTCGAAACAACACACCCCATTTTCTCTTCTTTTTTTTTTTTCGTTTTTTTGTTTCAGAAGGAGATCATACAATCTTGGAATTCAACTTCAACCTGCTGCAACTGGACTGAAATTCAAACACCTCAAATATGACTGACATAAAACTATGGGAAAGAAATCAAATAGACTCCACATCGCAATCTACCACAGAATTACAAAACTTTAGCAATACTAATCAAATATACCCAGAATTTGTTGATTTTGAGTCACATTCATGGGATGATCAACAGGTATAGGAAAACCAAAGAACTGAAATAAGCATAAGAACATCCACTTACTGATAGAATATAAATAGGTTCCATGAATTTCATCACTGAAACACAGATCACATTAGAGGAAAAAAAAGGTTCTTGCTAAAAGTTCGCTTCAGAGAATCAGACCAGATGGACCCAACCCCAGAAAGAGTCTTTAGTAAAAGTTCTGTTTTTTTTTCTTCCTACCAATTTCCACTATTAAAAAATATTAAAAAAAAAATCTATATAAAAAAAAGGAACAAAGGGAAAATGTTAGGTACATCAGCTTCTTTATACGGAGTAGTTTCTTTAATAATTTCTGGGAAAACATGAAATAAACGGGAATTATATTAAAGAAAAGCACCCCCTAATGGTAAATAATCAAACCTCACTTGAAGATCTTGTTCCAAACAGGAAGCAGAATGCAAGTAGAATGCATTATACATTCAGAAAGAATCCCATTCACATCGATCGAATCATACTTTTCTTCCTTTTGCTTGAGATTTACGAGTATTAAAGAAAGAAAAGAAAGAAAGAAAAAGGAAGAGGCTTTTTTTTTCTTTCTTTCTTTCAAATCCACGCAAGCATGAGGAGTGCCTGGGAAAGATGAATACAGGGTTTTATGTTGCTAGGAAACCCACGTCTGTCGCGCCCACTCAAGCTTGTCGGACAGCTCCGCAAAAGTTTGCCTCCCACTCCGATCCCTCCTCCATTACAGATTTATAGCAGCTCTGCTGTGTGTTCGGTTGCACGGGAGGGGAGAAAAACTTTTAATTGAATATGTGGTAATTGGTATTACACCCTTCGTCCTGAAAATTAAGAGAATTTTGTTTATTTGTAGGTTGATATCTATTATTTGATGAAATAAAATATTCTTTTTCATCTATTGCTTTGAAAATTTTTCGGTGTAATGTTTAGATATATAAATTTTATTATTTATTTATATACCAATCTTTAAATAAAAATAAATTTAAAAAACTTAAAATTTTGCTTCGTTGTACGCAATGTGACAAACACTTTGGGATAGAGAGAGTAATATAAAATCACTTCGAACTAAATTTATCGTCTCTTTTTGAACAACGTGTAAAATAATAGCTTTCTTAAATTGATTTTATTTACAAATTGATTAAAAAATTATAAATACAAATCGCATATCTAAAAACTACATCAACACTCAAAAATTTTACTACGTAAGAAATATGACAAGAATATTTTATTTTATTAAACAGACCATAAAAAAATATACGTAAGAAAAATATATTGAAAGCCCGCTATAGTAACAATGTCAAGTTGTCGGGGAGAGAGGGAGTATAAAACTACCATATGTCGATATTTCCTTAAAATTAGTATTTTTACAAACAGTCTTTCTTAATTTAATGACCACACATTTAGAGGAGGCAGAGGCGAAGAAGGGATGTGCGATTTAGGGGGTTAAGAACCGTTAATTTTACGGGGATCCCAAAGATGCTTCAAAAAGTCAATGGCACCGTTGCCACATGCAACGGAACCAAGCTATTTGTTTTTAAGCCATCTAAAATTTTTGGGTCTATTCAGTTCTATTTTTAAAGGCAAAACTCCATAAATAAGAGTAAAAAACTATGAAAATACCAAAATAGAAGTCATAAGTCTTTTAAGACCAAAATAAGAGTTCACATTCTCATTATTACATTATCACACTCACTACATTGTCACATTATAACTGTCACACTATCACCACCACACTGCCATCGTCGCCTCCGGCCACCAGAGTGCCACCATAGATCACCGGCGGTTGACTGATCACACTTATATATTGCACTGTTAACACTTTACTATCACATTGTTAACACATATTCTTACGTTACACTGTCATTATACTTTTATTTTGGTTTTAAAAGACTTAAAACTCATATTTTAGTATTTTCATACTTTTTATTATTATCTAGAGAGATTTATTATTTTTAAACTATATACTTATTAAATACTGCATATATAATTTTATCATCTTATTATTTTAATTCAAATAGAAGTTTCATGTTTTTTACGAAATAGGAGTTAAAATACACATACAATGTCAATCATGCATATATATAATACCGAAAAATATTGTGAAATTTAAATTTACAATTCACTTTATCACATAGTGTAAATCCTATTTCATGGATAAAAACATGAAGCTTTATTGCAAAATTCACATTATAAAACGCAGGTGAGTTACATCTTCCATTGCACGACTACAAAAGGTATATGTGGTATCTGATGGTGTAAATTATCGACCGGTATATCGTTTTTAACCGGTAAAAACGATAAACTAGTCTAAAAAAACACCAAAATATAAACACGGGGAATTTTACGTGGAAACCCAAATCGGGAGAAAACCACGGGCCTTTTTTGGCGGTACCTTGCCAACGGGGGATTTTTATTAATATCGGGGGTTGTACATGGTACATGAATTGGGCTCGGAAGCCATTAATGGAAGCTTAAAGCTCCTTTGAAGAAATAAAATACATAAATACTCTAGTGAGAGAGAGAAAGGATTGTGTAGGGAGAAGGGTTTGATTGGCCTCCCCTTCACATTGGGGGCACTCCTCCTTTTATAGGAGGGAGGAGGAGCATCTTCGGAGGAATATTCTCTTATTCCTCTATTTTATTAAACAGGCCCGGTTTGACTATTCTTCGTAAAATAATTGGGAAATGTGGGCCGAGCCACGTATTATTTCCCATCAATAAGTCCTCCACTTTTTTAAGTTGTGAGAATCATCAACTTGAAAAAGTAAACAAGTCCTCCGAGTGCTATCTTCTATCTTCGTACTTTGGATTCTTGACCGGTTGATATTGTTGTCAGTCCTCCGAGTTGTCATTAGTTCTCCAATTTCTTGAATCAGAAGGTTTTCCTGCAAAAATAACATGTACAACATTTTTTTTCTTGACCGGCCTATGCCGTGCTCAAATAATTTAATTATCTTTACCGAGGAGCTCGGTGTTAGGGTGATTAAACTTCGCGTGAATAATTATCGTAACAAGAGCGATGTCAGTTCAATTAAGCAACGATGCTTCAAGTAGTTATACGACACCGGAGTTAGTATGATGGAGTGGCAGTGCTTCAAGTAGTTATTTCGTCGAGACCGATGTTAGTACGAACTAAGTAAACGATGCATGACGAAATTAGTATACAGACGACATTGACTTTAGTTAATAAGAATTGAGTACGCTGCAGCAGCTTTGTTGAAGATCGATGCTAGCCCGGCTAACTGATGCAAATATCTTCATGTCTCGCGGAGACCATCTTCGATCAAAGTGCCTCAGATTGAGGGCTTAAATGAATCGGGCGTCCCCGATATGAGCTTTGCTCACTTTTTGCTGAAACCGATGTGCAATCGGTGTACCCAATTCGATTGGGCTCAGCCTTATTGGAAAATATGTGTAAGACTGGTGTGAGACCAGTGTACCAGTTCGACTGGGTCACATATTTTCTTTATTATACTGAGCAAGACCGGTGTAGTAACCAGCGTGCCAGGCCAGGCCTGTGTCTCAGTCTTCCAATAAGATAATGCTGCTGGCCGGGCCAGGTCAACATTAGAGAATTAACCATGTCGGATGGTTTCGAGCCCTCTCCAAGGCCCAAAATGCACCCTTCTTCCAGGGCCCCCTCTTCCGGGTGATTAAGTCTTTTAATGGCCCTTTGATATTTACTATCCCGGGAAGGCCTTAGCTCACCCCCCCCGTTCAAGTCTTCCCTGAGAAGGGGGAAATAGGATGCGCCACGGTGGACGATCCCCTTCTATTTCTTTTAATGGGCATCTTTTAGTCCCCAATCAATTTGACGGCACCGGCTGATTCCCCGATACCGGTCAAACCTCATGGGCCCGTGTAAGTACAGTTCGAACCTTCTTCCAGGTCCAGTCCTCTTGCAGGCATACCCTCTTCCGGGTTTATTATTTTTTTATTTTATACTGAGCAAGACCGGTGTAGTAACCGGCGTACCAGGTCCGGGCCTGTGTCCCAGTCTTCCTTTCCAAAATTTGCATAAATGCATGTGACATTGATGTACTCGATGAATTGCATCAGCCACTCGTGAATAATAATGTCTTTTAATGTACACCTTGCAATGGGCTCACCATGCTCTAATTTGGATTTTTGCGTGTGGCCATCTCCTTGTGAGCTCACCACCATATACTCCCATCACTCTATTGTGCGGCGTATATTATTAAATCAAAGAGATGGGCCCTCTCTTTTCCATGATGAATGTGGTGGAGCATCTTATCTTCCTCTTCCTTCCCATTTGTATAATTCCGCAGAGAAGAAATAAAAATGGACCCATTCCAAACTCAATTGAAATTACTGGGTCCCATGGAGAAATAAGTGAGGGATCACTCCTTGTCCACTTGCCTGTATCTTTCACCATAATTGAAAGGATAAAATGATATATGAGGGTGTAGGACCTCACCACTTTGTACTCCCTTGTTTGATACTCCGTATCATTACACAGTGATAAGGCCAAATGAAAAGCCTTCATATTTCTCCATTCTGAATCTGCATTGTCCACCATACCCATGTGCCAAATTTTTGATGAGATCTCTTTGTTCAATTTCTCCCCTTTTTCTCTCAAGGAAACTGCCCCTGAAATTGACTCCTTCACGCGCGGCAGTGCTCCAGCGCCGAGAACACCGAGAACATGCCTTGGCGTTGCTACCCCGACATTGGATTGGGCAATCTTTTGTTTAACTAGCCGTCCTTTTGCACTTAGACTTTTTGAGAGTGAAATCCATCTTGCTGTTATTGTCTTCTGGGAGGAACTGAGGAACTGGTACCACGTCAATCAGCATCAACACCTTCAAGGACATTATTGGAGCCAGAGCTACGGCAGGAAGCAACCCGGGATGAGGCGGAACCACGACCTCCGCAGTGCGGTTATGATGGCTTTGTTCTTCGGCAAGGCAAACAGCAGCGGGAGCAGTTTAGGCCAGCTCCGAACGGCGGTCATGATGGAGCTACTATGAAGCCAGTTGCGGAGCTGCCAGAGCATGGTCTTGTTCTCTGAGGCGGGGCGGAGTGACGGCAGCAGACAGTGGAGATGATAGACTTTCAGCATGGTAGTCTTTGATTTGGGCAAGGTGACAACCCGACAATGGTGGTGGTGATCCACTTCCCCGGCAGTGATGAATTGCTTCCAGCCGCCATGCTGGTGGACTCCCATCACGGATTCATGTAGCAGTAGATTTTAGGGTGGCTATGGATATTAGCCCGTAATAGAGTGGCGGGCGTAAATCGGACATTCACGCACCCAAAAATGGACCTGAAATACGCTTCTGTGTGTCGTCTTCTTCGAGTGTCTGTTCGTTGACCATCCTTGTGTTTCTTCCGTTGCCGGAATGGGGCAGCTACGCCGCCTGAGTCTCCTCCTCGTCGCCGGAAATAGTAAGGCGCTGGAGGAAGGCGTCGGACTGCTGGATGTTGATTCCCGCTTCTGGTTTGTCGTCGGATAGAAGCTCGTCACCGATGATTGGCTATGCAAGTGGTGGAGAGGCGCGGGTCGGGTCACGAAATCTGGGTCGCGCACAGTCTCTTGTAGCACCAGTGCCGGTGTCGAGCGCCGGATGTGGACGATAACTCCCAGAAGCTTCTTTCCCTTCTAACTTTTCGGTTTCTGGCGGCGGAAATTCAGAGGATATTTGGGCTATGATTTCGGCCCATTGAGAAATGACAACTAGGGTGGTTTTTCTTATCCGGATCTCTCTCCTTTTTTTTTGTGGGCGTGGGGGAAAGAAGAACAAAAAACAACTATGCTCCTCTTTTCTTTCATCTCTCTCTCTCTTTTTTTTTTGAGCAACACCTCCCTCTCCTCTTATCCTTTGGAAATGAAGAAACTAAAAAAAATATGGCTTTTCGATCAAGTCCCACGGTCGGCGCCAAAATGATGGTGTAAATTATCGACCGATATATCGTTTTTAACCGGTAAAAACGATAAACTAGTCTAAAAAACACCAAAATATAAACACGGGGAATTTTACGTGGAAACCCAAATCGGGAGAAAACCACGGGCCTTTTTTGGCGGTACCTTGCCAACGGGGGATTTTTATTAATATCGGGGGTTGTACATGGTACATGAATTGGGCTCGGAAGCCATTAATGGAAGCTTAAAGCTCCTTTGAAGAAATAAAATACATAAATACTCTAGTGAGAGAGAAAAGGATTGTGCAGGGAGAAGGGTTTGATTGGCCTCCCCTTCACATTGGGGGCACTCCTCCTTTTATAGGAGGGAGGAGGAGCATCTTCGGAGAAATATTCTCTTATTCCTCTATTTTATTAAACAGGCCCGGTTTGACTATTCTTCGTAAAATAATTGGAAAATGTGGGCCGAGTCACGTATTATTTCCCATCAGTATCAATCAATGTTTTGAAGACCGGATCGACCGGTTCAACTGGTTAGACCGTGACCTGGAGACCAATCCGGTCCAGTTCATTAGCTAAACTCGTTTCCTTATTGACCCGGTGAACTGGGTGACCCGAGTCAACCCAATTGGATTGCGGGTTTGGATTTAAAACTAAATTTATATTAAATTTAAAAAGTGAAATGGAGGGATGAGGGATCAGACCTACAACCTTTAAAGACTCAACTTAGATTCTAATGGCTTGAGCTACTACAACATTTGTTTAAAGGGGAAGGTTCCCATGACATTGGTTCCCAATGTCATGGGAACCAAGGTGTTGTTTAAAATGTCTTAAAACACATAATATATTGGCTATTTGTATTTGGAAAAACTTTGAGAGACATCTGTTTATAACGTGCTCCCTATTTATTTTATGAACTTCTAAATTAGTTTAAAGAAAAAAATATTACTTTTTCAAAAGAAAAAATAAATATAAATATTGTATACCTAAAAAATTTTATTCATCTTCAACAGTTTAGTACGGAGTAATATTTACTAATTATTCGTGGAGTTATATTATATGCTACAATTTATTTTGTTCTCTCATTTTTTATCTTTTCAATCAATGCAATATAAGTCTAAAATATTATATAGGAATTAAAATATTTTTATTAATTAAAAGTATCCGGTAATATAATATAAATTTTTATTTTTATTATCGTTAGCTGGGTCGTTGACCCAGGTCTGACCAGTTTAACCGATTAATCCTTGATGAATCTATGTTTTGGGAGTGTCCAACCATTCCAGACAAGTTCATTACATTTAGGACAATCTCCTATAAGCCATCTGTAGCAATCTCTCAGAGTAAAATTTGAATCAGATTTCATATTCTGAAAACCATCTCTAACATATAGAAGGTTTTACCTATTGTTTCGATCATTTGATAAAATAAAATATTCTCGTCACTACTCCTGTTGTACAATTTTTAAAGTAGTATGTATGTATGTATGTATGTGTATATGTATGTGTGTGTGTGTATATTACTTAGTGATTCAACACCAAACTTTATAAAAAATGAATTAAAAATAATTTCAATTAAATATTCTGATCCGAAAGTGTAATTGAACATTATAATGAGACAAGAAGAGTACAGAACTCGTGAATGAGCATATACTAATTTTATATTATAAATACCTAGAATACATAAAAATGTGTGCTTTCATTTTAGTATTTTCAATTTTTTGGTGAAAATGGAGAATGACTAAAATAAAAGTAAAACATAAGAAAAAATCAAAATAGGACTTAGTTTTCTTTTTCTCAAAATAGGGTCTATAATGCAAATTTATAATACAAAAAAGCACTGTGGAATACTGGTCTATAGTATCACATTGTCATAATGCAATAATTCTAGTTTAGTATAAAAAACCACTCTTATTTTGAGAAATGAGGTTATATTCTATTCTTATTTTCGATGATTTTTTTAAGTCTCCCGAGTACAAACAAAACATAGCCATTACATCTAAAATAGAAATTACCCATTTTTATCCTCAAAGGATCCAACAACAATTTTTAGTGGCTCATTTGTGTGGTCGGTCATCTTTGGGTTTGCTTAATGAAAGTTTTGTTCAAATTAAAATATAGTATTTCTTGGTGTGGACTCAGGTCAAAGCTACATCACATAAGTTTTTATTAAGTATCTGTATTGAAATACATGATGTCAAATTTTGGTGCCAAACTTTAAATTTAAAATAATTTCATGCTTTTATTAGTTTTGAAAATAACATTATATATAAATTTTTTAAAATTGTCTACCATTTGTTTCAATTTTTTACTTTTCATTTATGTTAAATTAGTTTTAGTGTTTATTTTAGAATTTTGGCACCTGTTATTTCAATCTCTCATTATATAAAATAACTTCCATTATTTTTAAATGCAATGAACATCAATTTTATAGTTTTCTATTTTCCAAGTATTATACTAATATGCAGTAAAACATTTTAATTTCTATTAATTTACATGACTATTTTATGAGGGAGTGTTTTTGTTATTTTTTTTGAGGAACAACTACGGAGTATTTATAAAAAAAGTATTACTCGTACAAGTTTTCTGTCATTATTCTTTAAAAACACTATTTTTATTCTTTATACTCCATATTTATATAAATTTTTATTCTATTACTATTCTTTAAAAAGGTATTACAAGTTTTTATTATTATTCTTTATAGCCAATATTTATATAAATTTTTAAAAGTACTCACTATTTTTCTCATTTATCCCCTTTCAAAAACAAAGATTTATATAGGTATATATCTTCCCATTTGACTTTTTACGGTCTCCAAGCTAGATTGCACTTTGACCACTAATATCTTTATTTATACATTGACATATTTTATAAAAAATTGATATTTGAAAACTATATTTCAAAATGAATATATTCGTATTAAAGTTATATCATAATATAATGTATTTTTTCCACTTATCATAGTCAAAGTTTACAAACTTTGACCAAGAAAAGTCAAATGGGAAGAATATTTCTGGACGGAGGGAGTATAGAAGATTTCTATAACATATACCATATATTAATTAGAACATTAAAAAACTACAAATTATATTTTAAATTTTGACCATCAATTAAATAAGCTTGATATTAGATTTGATTTAAAAAATAATTATATTAGATTTATCTTATACCAATTTCGTGCTCATTTAAGTTGCATGTTGACTATTCACATGGTCAACTTTTAATCACGTTCTCCACTCATTTTTGCTATGAATTTTATAAAACTATATATGTAGTCATGTCACATCTAGTTTGTATAATTTTGGATATATTTTTTAAATATGTATGAATAAATCATATTTTTATTCTTTTACCAATTTTCAAACGAAATGAATTAAAAATAATTTCAATCAAACCTCGTAAAAGAGAACAGGTGATTAAAATTGGGATGGAGGAAGTAAATATTAAAATATTTTCAAAATATTTTTGAACTCTATTTAATATTCCCTCCGTCCTAAAAGATTGCCAGAGTTTGACTTTTTGGTGAAACTGTGGCACCCCTTAACCACGAACTAAATATAATTTAAATAATTAAATATTATAAAATTTGATTTTCTAAAATTATATTTAAAATAAATCTAATTTTACTAAATTTACATTATAACTAAATATAATTTTTTCTTTGATTCGTGCTCAAAGAATGCTACAATTTGATTAAAAAAGTCAAATTGTGGCAATCATTTAAGACGAAGGGAATATAATTTTTATTTAATTTTTGGTGCTCTGGAAAAATCAAAAGTGAAGGAATGACTAAACGTGTCCCACATAGAGAACCCAAGGAGACGAAAGAACCTGGACACATTTCCGTCCACCTTCTTCAATGACCCATACTCCAACTTCTCTCATATAAAGCGCTCTTAATATTCCATTCTTTCTCATCCTCACAGTTGAGCCACACCATTGCATTTGCATATATGTGAGAAGATGAAGATGAAGATGATGATGGAGGAAGAGAAGAAGAATAGCCATGGAAGCCCAAAGCTCCCTCACGGGGACACCCCCTACGTCCGGGCAAAACACGCTCAGGTAGTCTGTCCCTTCTAGTTTGAGCTTTTAGTTGAGTTGGTTTCTCGTATATATATTTATATATATGCATGCATGGGGTGCAGGTAGTCGAGAGAGATGGAGGCGCCGCCATAGCCCTGTTCTGGAAGGCGATAGACGAAGGAGACAGAGTGGACAGTGCTCTGAAAGACATGGCAGTGGTTATGAAACAGGAGGGAAGGGGTGAAGAAGCCATTGAAGCCATCAACTCCTTCCGGGGCCGATGTTCTCCCCATGCCCAGGAATCTCTCGACAATGTTCTTATCGATTTGTACAAGGTTGTCCCCAAATATTATCATTACCCCTCCCGCCCGTTCTTCTGACATTTGGTTATGTATTATTAGTTCGCTTGAATCGGTTGGCGTCGTGTTACAGGCATTCGGGAGATTAGATGATCAGATTCATCTGCTGAAGCGGAAGTTGCAGATGATTTGCCATGGAGAAGCGTTCAATGGAAAACCCACCAAGACCGCTCGCTCCCACGGGAAGAAATTCCAAGTCACAGTCAAGCAGGAGACCACAAGGATCCTGGTTACATTCTAATCTTGTTTTTTCTTCATCTTTTTTAGCAATATTATGTTTGGTTCGAGGAACCAGGAAGGAAACAACTAAGAATTGTTTTCTATTCCAATGCAGGGGAACCTGGGGTGGGCATACATGCAGAAGAAGAACTATGGAGCAGCTGAGGTTGTGTACCGCAAAGCGCAGGAGATTGAAGCAGACTCCAACAAAGCCTGCAACCTGTGCCTCTGCCTTGTGAGACAAGGGAAATGCAGTGAAGCACGGGCCATTCTTCAAGGCGTTCTTCGTGGGGACCCCTACGGTTCCTCGGACCCCAAGACCGTGGCTCGCGCCAAACAGCTTTTGCTGGAGACCGAGCAGTGTTTTGAGGCCGCTGTGGGAAACCCTTCGCCCACTTTCGCGCTTAGTTTTGTCGAAGATGCTTTTGTTGAGGGTGTGGATAAGATGATTAACCTATTGAGGTCTAATAATAGTAGTAGTAGTAGGAGACTTCCCATTTTTGAAGAAATCTCCCCTCAAAGAAATCAACTGGCTTGTTGATACTGTATTGAACCTTCAGTTTCTTACATGAACAGAAAAGATTGAAGAAGAAAAAAATGTAGAAAGAAAGTTGCACAATATGTTAACTCCTACACACCACTGTTCTTTTCTGGTATTATTATTTTGGTACAACAAGCTACTGACTGTTCATACCTATGTATATCTATCTGCTCTGGAAGTTGAAAGCCTTAATGGCGTAGACGAAAGTGAAGCTGAAAACAACAGGGAATGTAACAGTGACAGCAGCAACCACGCCAAGGAAATCATGTTTGAAGCCGAAGTAATCTTCCACGAACTGCTTCACGGTCTGGTCAGAATCGCTCATTTTATCCTCAATATCTCCGAACTGCGATGCCACCAATCCGTACAATGTCCATGACACCGGGCATGCCCAGAAGTACCACCTCCACCACACCGGCATGCGCTGTTACATGAAAAAACATGAATTAATAATGCTCCTATTAATTCAAATGGATGATGGTGATGGTACAGTGACAGTGTTAAGTGTGTAGAAATACTTACGGGTCGCGGAATGATGAAACCAGAAAACAGATTCCATAAACCGTAGAAGAAGGAAGAGACAATGGCTGCAATGCCTTCGTTGGGAGTAACAGCCACAGACATCATGCCGTAGAGTGTGAAGTATAACAAGGAGAATAACATTATGAAAAGGTACCAGAAAAACTTGGCTGCCGTCCATTCAAATCCAATCATGGCATAAACAACCACACCATACACGGATGCTTGTAAAAGTATGTACGGGATTTCAATAACAATCTGTCACAAACAAGATGAATATTACGTCCAACATTTTAGCATTTTTACCATCCCCGTTTGTATGCGTCGCGTTAGTAAAAAAGTAGAAAACTCACTTGTCCGAAGGCGTAGGGTAAGGCAGAATACATTCCGGCTGCCTTCTCCCTGTAGAACACAGTACGTTCAACCGCGACCACTGGCTGTACAGCAGAGGAGTTTTGCACGCCTAGGAAGAGAACTGCGGTGTACATGGATCCCATAGCATTAAACAGGTCTTGTCTTTTTTCACTGAAATACATAAGAAAGTAAGAAATTTACAACCACAACACAAGTGTTGCCTCTACTGAGTAGTTTAATCATTTAAGGTGTGTTTGGCATACTTACGTTTTGGTACCAAGGTCCCAAAACATTGTTCCAAAAGTCAATGCTATGATGGTTGTGAAGATGAACCTAACTGCAGTGTACGATGTGTTACGCCAATAAGACCAGTGTTGTTTCCAGAGGCAGGCCATGCACTGGCTCCAGAAACTCTGTGAGTATTGAGTTGGGAAGTACAATTCGTTGGAACCAGGGCGTGGAGTGCTTAATTCACTGATCAAAGCTTTGTTCCTTCTGTAGAGATCCGAGTTCTTATACACATCAGTGAAATCAACTCCTAGTAACAATTCTTGAGAGGAAGCTGTCACTTCCAACATCCATGTTGCCGGATTATATCCTTCCTTAATTTTCTGCACTCCGTGAATTGACTATTTGCAGCCAAGAAAATTGGATTAATAATGTGGTAATATACGAGAAGTAGAATCTTTTGAACTTTCGAAACGCACCTCGAAGTAGTGTATCAAATGGCTTGAATTACGCCCCAATGGCCCGACATAAATCTCTTGTCCTCCTCTCTTCATTAGAAAGAGCTGCAAAAAATGTATTCTTTGTTAGTTTATTGTTTGAATTTCAAATAAACATGAATATAGATGCATGCCACTCAAGAGAATTTGATTCACCTCATCAAAAGCTTCAAAAATGTCAATGCTGGGTTGATGAATGGTGCAAACAACGGTCCTCCCAGTGTCAACAGTGTTCCTCACAGTCCTCATCACAATTGCAGCAGCTCTGGCATCTAGCCCTGATGTTGGCTCATCCATGAATATGATTGATGGGTTGGCCACTAACTCAACTGCTATTGTTAGCCTTTTGCGTTGCTCGGTTGAGAGACCATTAACCCCGGGCAACCCAACAAGTGCGGATCTCAATGGGTTCAGCTCAACTAGTTCCATCACTTCGTCAACAAACATCTGCAAATAAATTTACCATAACCTAAATATTTGGCAATGAGAGTTATCACATTCTATTATTATGTATGGCATGTTTTTTTCATTTAAAAAAACTAACCTTTCTAGCATTGCCATCCACGTCCTCTGGCAAACGTAGCCATGCTGAGTAAACCAAGGACTCATGAACAGTGACAAATGGCGAATGGATGTCATTCTGTTCACAGTAACCTGAAACACGGGCAAAAGTTTCCTGTTTCTTTGGATATCCTGAAATTTTGATATCTCCATCAATGTATCCACCAGTTTTTCTTCCTGCCAAGACATCCATAAGGGTGGTTTTCCCCGCTCCACTCACACCCATCAACGCAGTGAGAACACCTGGCCTGAAGGCCCCGCTTACGCCTTTTAAAAGAACCAATCTATCCTCAGTGGCACCCTGCTCTTTCATTTCCTGTGGCATGTCCACAGAGTACATAACATTGTCGAATGTCAGGGAATGGGGTTCAAATGGAAGAACCATTCCCCGCTTCTGCGTCTCACTTGTACCAGCAACATGGGATTGTCGTTGAGAGGTGTTTTGGATAGAAGAAGTCTCGTCATCGTTGTCATCAGCAGGTATGAGAGCTTGGGGCTTTCCAAATGCTGCATTTTCATATTCATAAGCCAGATGTCATATCTTTTAGTATAATAGTATATACTCTGTGACTCTGTGTATATTGAATATTGTATTGTATGTGTGTGTACTATACATAAACATCAGTTCAGAATGGGGAGTAAAATTGAAAATATACTTACGGTTAAGAAATTGGAGAGCTAGAGCAAAGCAGACGTTGAATAGAATTACAAAACCGAAAAGGGCCCCAAGACCTATCCAATACCATTTAGCTTCTGGGAAGAATCCTCTTGATCTCACAACTGCATCTCCAAGTGGTTCGGTACCATTTGGAGCAATCTGTTGAAATAACAAACAAATAAAATCAGTGTGATTCAAATGTGAGTGTGTGCGCTTGGAAAATTGCAAGCCACAGTGAGATATATGTGCTTACATGTCTCCAGCTCTTCCCTTTAAATTCATTGACAAGAATTGCATTCATGCCATACATCATGGGTGAACACCAGTAGCCCCAAATCCACCAATCCTTTACATCATCTGCAGAATCAGGATGCAATGCGCCGTTTTCATATCAGACAATTCAAACAAGGCTTGCGTACTACGGAGTTTAATAAATCAGACAGTTCATAAAAGGCTTGCATAATATAGTAATATATGACCCTTGCTAACACACAAACCTCGAGAGAGCACAAAACCACCCAAAGCAAACAGCAAAAGCAAAGCAAAAGATCCAAATGTGTTTGCAACTCCCATTGTCCTACCCATAGCTGCAATCATTCGGAACAATGCAGAAGCCATCTGGTTCACCAATACCATTCCTAGGAACTGTTTGAACAGCCTGAAACAGAAAATATAAAGTAAAGAGGGGGTAGGAAACAAAAGTCGCTTATTGATCAATAATCAAGCAGTAGACAAAATTGTGATATCCACCTGCCAACATTTGGATCAAAACCAATGACATAGTAAGTAACAAACACCCAAAGACTGACTTCAACAAATGTAACAGGCACTTTTAGGATCCACGAAGGAAGAGCATAAGCCCAGGGAGGGAAGAATCGGAGGTCCCTTTGCTTGTAGAACACTGGCAACTTATAAATGGTCATTGGAAGCTCAGACATACCATTGAACATAACCATAACCACACCAAAAAACAATGCGCCCAAGAAAATCCCACCGTCAGTCTCATTGTCTTTCTTCATTTCGGTTCGAAAAAATAGTGTCATGGTAACAAACGCCACCACCGAAAGCTGGACTCATTACGTATAACCAAACAAAAACGGCTCAGTTATATTGGATCACAATGTGAAATAAACATATTTTTTTCATAAAAAAATCAACAACTCACCTGAAAGAATTTGAAGATGTAAGCAAATGAGTTTCTGTGCATGAGCAAATACTCTCTATCGGTGCAAACCTTCAAGAGTTGCCTCTTTCCTATACCATAATTTTCATTTGTTAAGGCGGCAGGGTGGCTTTTGGTTTTATCAAAGGGGACCGAAAGCTCATCTGCCATTGTCTTCCCAACATGGAAGGATTGGTATGCCTCTGCAAATTCCTTGGCCTTCACGAACCTATAAGTCTCACCCCTGCGGACCCAATACTGCTGTTGATCTTTCTTTGACGTCACCTGCCAAAAAAGTTTGAATTTTCAGTACAAATAGGAAGAAGAAAAACCCAATTTCCAGTACAATTCCGAAGAGAGGTGATGAAATGCATACTTCTTGCAAGAAATCGGCAACCCCTTTTCTCTGGGGGCATCTAAAGCCCATTGATTCGAAGAAATCCAGGATGTCCTCACGAGGCCCATTGTAAACGACATACCCGTCCGACAACAGAATGATGTCGTCGAAGAGATTGTAGGTTTCCGGCGCCGGTTGGAGCAGAGAAATGACGGCCGTGCCCTTGAGGATGTGGACGAATTGCCTCAGCGAGTTGACGATGGAATAGGTCGTGGAACTGTCGAGACCCGTCGAGATTTCGTCCATGAATAGGGCTTTTGCCGGCCCGACAATCATTTCTCCGGTGGTGACCCGCTTTTTCTGCCCGCCGGAGATACCCCGGATCATTTGGTCGCCCACCATTGTGTCTGCACATACTTCCAATCCCAGAATCTGCACGATATACCCTGATTAAGATTCCAGTTTTTTGTTTCTTTGATAACTTGTTCCAAGATTTCAAGACTTATATTGGATGCAGGGATTACCTTAAGAACATAATCAGTGAGCACTTTTGCTTCTTGTCCTTCAGTGGCTGCCGCCTGTTAGTTCAGTCAGTACAATCCAATCCGTTAATGGAAATTCCAAATTTCACACAAATATAAAATTCAAATTGATTGCTTAATTTTATGGCGTTCAATACTCCTTTTTTAGGCATTCACACAAATGTAAAATTCAATTGTAGCGCCCAATCCATAAAATTTAGGACAAGGGTTTCAAGATTCTTGTCA